GAGAGGATGTAGGACTCGGGAGCTATAATAGGTTTGGTAACCAGGCTAGCGGAAAGAGGGAAAGAAAGAAAGTGTATAAAAGGGTAAAAAGACACACTCTCTATTTGAGAACGCAAGCTTTGTGTGTTTCATACTTTCTGGAAAATGCGTCTATATCTTTAAGTTTAACCTCTTTTTCTGCATTTGCTATGAAATTACACGTTTGTACATTATTGAAAGACAATTTTCAGGCAGATCGTGCTCAAGTACAATAAATAGTCCATAGACCGTAAACGTACTTATGGTGGTGGTTGAACACTTACCTGAGCATTCTAGGCGGAGGGATTTCTGCCGTGCCTTGCCAGGTGGCAGACAGTCGGCTGAGTACCGGCGGAGAACACAGAACGTCGGTGGTGCTGGTGCAGGGCACGATCGGTCCACTGGCGCCTACACAACTGCGACACCTAGCGACAACGAACGACACGGAAATGAAAAGAAACCTACAGCTTGTGTCACTGAAAGACAGATGAAAAATGTCCAGACTATGAATGACAAAATGACTAATAAACTGGTGGACGTACCAACTAAGCGCCCCTGACGTATCAACTAAAGTACCTATTACCTGCTCAGCCATTAGGCTCCTCCCCCCCATGGGGCGTCGCCAAAAACGTCCGATTCAAGAGTCCCCTCGGCTAATACCTAAATTATACTTCAAAGTCAACCCTCGGGCATGTACTTGCAAATGAAGTACTTACCTTTGGCATTTTTGTTTCTGTGAGTTGAAGAAGTTTCCGTTGGGACAAAGTTTGACCGGCGCCACACAGAGGTAAGAACCGGGTAGGTTCAGACACATGGTGTGGGACGGACAGACAGGCGGCCGGGTTTTACACTCATCTTCATCTGAAAATACAACAAGTTGTCTGACGTGTTAAAACTTCAGATCCAACACAAAAAGTTTTCTCACATAGAGCTTTCGTCCAGTCACTCTGGTCTTCCTCAGTAGACTGACCCAGCGAGGCTTGTCACGTGGCTTCTTTGGAGTGTGACGTCAATACTGGGTCAAAGGTATCTGGTAGACCACCGCGACGGCGGCCGCCATCGTCTACCAGATACAAGCCTCACTGCTGGGTCAGTCTACTGAGGAAGACCAGAGTGACTGATCGAAAGCTCTAGGTGAGAGAATCCAGTAGTTCAGCACAGAATTGTCTTTGAATATTATTCTTTTGGATGTCTAAGCTTCATCAATGAAGCTTGTTGTCCTCAAAAGTAGCACTTGTTAAACATATCTTACCTTGACAAATGACGTCAGCCGTTTGTGTGCACCGTGATTTGGTGACGTATCCCTTGGGACAGACGCTACACGGCACGCATGCGGCGTCGTCACGCATGATGTGGCAGTACTCGGTACTGGTGCACTCATTACACACGTCACTGTGCGCCAGCAACTGCGCCTGCGTCACAGCCTCCTGTATCATGTTGGATAATTTCTCCTGTTCATGAGAGAGAAAGAGAATCATCAGTGCGCAGAACAGACACGGAAATTCACTTTAAAACGCATTGAATTGAAAGCCATTGCTGCCATATCCATTTAAGTTACCGCTTTTGAATACATAATTTGATTGGACCAAATTACTATTAAACCTCCTTGTTTGGAACGGTTTTAACGATTGGCTAGAACCAACCTGTTGTTTGGATATCTTCGCCTGTTTTGCCTGTATTTCCGCCCGCTGCCGAAAGATGGTGTTGCTGAGTCGCTCTGCCTTGGCGCCGGTCCACAGGACGCCAACCGTGTCCTTTTGCCACATCGGTTCTGTGGAATAGATGACGATGTAACATTCAGAAGAAAGTTCAAGTCGATTACTAGTACTATGCTAATAGGTTTAACCAATGCTTCAGCGTAGACATGCCTTGGCTGTGCCACTTGCCGCGTTACTAGTTTACTCAATATTGTGTTTTAAATTAATGTCATGTATATAACACTGTATTTGTTGTATTCTTATGCACTTTATTACCTCCATGAAATGTGTCATGGAGGTTATATTTTCAGTTGCGTTTATCTGTCCGTCCGTCCGTCCGTCCGTCCGTCCGTCTGTCTGTTGGTCAACAAGATAACTCAAGAACGCCTGGATGGATTGGTTTCATACTTGGTGTGTTGGTAGGGTGTGACGAAAACTGGAAATGATGAGATTTTGGTCCCCCTAGTGGCTTCCCTTGGTACTGCAGCGCAACTTCCGGTTTTGATATCTCGCGATCTGGACATGCTAGGGTCATGAAATTTGGATGATAAGTAGCTCTCGTGCTTGGGAAGAAGTCACATGAGTTTGGGCCCCCTAGCGGCTTGTTCTGGAACTGCAGGGCACTTTCTGGCGAAATGTTTAAAAGCCAATAAGTCCAGACAGGAACACCATATTTTCATTATTTTTGGTGTGTAGGTAGCTGAGAGAGAGATGTACATAATTAAATGTAAATCATGCAAATGAGGACTTAATTTGCATAATTAATGAGGAAATTCTATAATTACAGTGTTTTACATTATACTACATGTATGTAACCTATGGCAGGCGGAACTTCAACAGATACTAATTATGCAAATGATGACCTAATTTGCATAATTAATGTGCAAATTCTATGATTTCGTAATGGTGAATGATGAGAATGTCATACTTGGGACATCTGTAAGTTAATCAAAAGTTAACATACATCACGATGCATATATCATGTTAATGCAGAGGTCATTTGAACAATTAAAGAAGAAATTTACATTTACATATCAAGATCATATTTCATGGAGGTATGAGATCTCGGAATTCTAGTTAATATATGATCTTGTCGGCATGGTGGCCTTGAAAAGGTGTCTTTGAAAAGGTGGCCTTGAAAAGGTGTCCACCTGTTCCATCATGCCTTCCATGTATGTGGAAAATTGTAATAAATTCATTGTTTTGATTACCTCGACTATAATGATTATATGTGCATATGCAATTTCGACATTTTGGTTTATGTTTTTCGCTTGACATGTTAGTGGTCTTATAAATGCCACTCCAGTTATATCAATTGCAAGGTTTGAAATATTTATTACTAGTATGCCATATTCAGCTAAATCTATTTTTTTGTCGGAGGTTGGTTATTGGATACGTTATTTTGTTTGTTTTATATTGAAAACTGATGACGTCAGGCTACTGTAAGACGACCTTCAACTTTCAAGACAATAGCATTCCTCAGTTTTCAATTTTCTCCGAAAACGTCTTCCGTCACTTCTACATGTATTCTAGGATGCGCCTTGGTTATAATTAGAAAGGAATTCTAACCTTTCGAAATGAAGCAAACTGTAACCGTAAGCTCTTCCTGTCTACTTTTCCCGTGAGAAATGCCGGCACTTCGTTTATCCGTCAACAATGTGTTTATCTTATTGGTATCTACGGCCGATTCCATTTTTAACTTGAGGAGGGGCAAGGCATAACATTTTCTTATTCCCTCTGCCATTTATACATATATATACCTTGTGTATCAATCGTCTTAACACTTTGTAAGGAAAAAACTACATAATAGCTTCCACCCCTCCCCGATGTGTTGAAGGACTGATCCTAGTTGATGATCCCCTGACATTACTGAACGGTCCCTGTTGTGTATACACCGTCTTCACAGGTGTGTTAACAAGTCTTACTATTATCGCTTCCGACAACGCCACTCCGGTGTTGTACGAAAAACAGACACCCCGCCATCCAGCAATTACAGCAAAGATTCCAGGGTAATGACTGTCTTTTGTCCGCCGGCTTATACCCAGGGTGGCCCTATTATTTCCCATGTGGAAAAGAAAAGAATCCTGCGGAATTTGATACATGTTGTTAAAGCTGTTTTACAGCAAATAGGCCCTCAACACTCTTAACAAGGGATTTCAAGATGTTAGTCAAAGGAAATATTCAACTGAAAATAAATAGCGTGTCATTTGCGTACGCGGTTGACAAACTAAATGACTTCGTGACATAAACCTCCTTGGTGACATTGTGCCCAAGCCGGAAAAGGAAGGAGGGCCTAGGTAACTTAAGATTCCAGAGTGGGGATAATTATACGCCTTGAATCCGTTACAGCTGTTCGTTTCGTGACTTAAGTCTTAAACTATTTAGCCTTCAAATTGTAAGTCTGAAAGACAATATAAAGCTTGAGTAATTTGTGTGTAACACTAGCCGCAGGTTTGGGTCCAAATTCCGTTGCGGTGTATTGGGTAAAGGAACAATAATTTGACAGACTGACTTCCGAAGTTCGTTGGTTTGAGTCCTAACATTTGTACCCACTGTTCCTCATAATGTGTAATAATAGAAAACGTTAACAACGGTTCTTTTGCCCTGCCAGATCGTTACTTTCACCTATCAATTACATCTCTGCCCCAGGATAATCCGGCTCATGACCCTGGAACCGAGAGTTTAGGCCCGGTGTTGGCGACATTATTGTACCAATAACGGGTTTCTCCTTTTCATGAAGAAAATATCGTATCAATATTTATGTATACGGATACTAATACAACTATCACAATTAGAGCGTTTGGTGGTTTGAAAATTGTTCTTTTAAGCATTGAATGAATGGTTGCACCTGTTTCCAAATCAGAAGTGTTGCTCTCTACCTGTAAATTTTCTCGGGTCGCCGACTACTCGCGACCCTTGAGATTAGTACCTCTTCTTTCCGCCCGAAACATTTGCGATCACAAAGGGCTCAGCCAGGCGAGGCACAGCCGCGCACAGGACCGAGATTACAGAGATATCCTTGGCGCTAATCTTCCGCGATAACATAGATTAACTCACACATCATTAAGGGACAACATAGCACCACTGAAGTATCCTCTAATGCCATGGTAGTATGTTAAGTCCTACCAAGTATCAACTTAACTATTCAGCATGATTAATTAGGTATTTTAGTCAGTAGAATAAGAGAAATTTATTTTTAAAAGTATGGATTATCGGCTTCAGTGATAAGGAAAAGACTGGCGCTACTGTCCACGTTGTATCAGATACCATCAGATATCACCATACCAAAACGTTGGTGATGAAGAAAGCTTTGAATAAATTATCTGAATTTTCCCGCCAAAACCCGACAAAATCTATTAGTATTACGTGCATGGAATCTGACGATTTCATTTCGTAATACTTTCACTATATTACAATCATTCCAACCAAGGTAAGTAGCCTCATCTTTCGCTATCTGATAATATAATGATAGGTTATATATAAGAGGGAAGATGATTCTTCTTGTTTCTCTTTCAAAGTTCCATGCAACATTCTTCATACATTCTTACCTCAACTTCAACTGCTCTAAATTTCTTGATAATACCACATCAGATAACATCTACTGCTATTCTGCTACAGAGGGTTTCTTTAGGTAAAGTTCCAGAAATATACGGCCGACAGGGAGGCAAGAAGGACGCTTTTGCAAGTTGAAAGGCTTCTTGTCTCGTCCCCTTGACTTAGATACATAACAGACCCATTCTTCCTTGTTTGTACCCGGCGACAGACGGCCTTTGGACCTCTACAATGCCCCTTCACTTTGACAGAGCATCATTCATTCCTCAAAGGCAGTTCCTGTCCGTACATAACAGTGGGCCCTGGGACCGGGAGGACCCGTGTATAATCAGCTGCATTCACCCCGGTAGTTGCTCGGCCATTACATGGTGAAATTGTCCGCAAACTGCGGGCAAAACTATTGACCTAACCTGCAGTGTAACAAAGGCGTGCGTTTGAGACCAGCCACAGCTGACCGACAGAACCCGGAGGATGGATTCTCTCCGGTCAGGACGCTACAACCGAGCAACAGCTGTCTGCGTTCTGTGGACACAAAAAGAACTTTCAGACATCCATTTTGGACATGTGTCTTCCTTTCTTTCTTTCATTCCCATGGCTGTCTTTTTGCAGCCTTGTTGTCTCTATTTCTTTCTTTCTTTCTTTCTTTCTTTCTTTCTTTCTTTCTTTCTTTCTTTCTTTCTTTCTTTCTTTCTTTCTTTCTTTCTTTCTTTCTTTGTGTATATATCTTTCTTCCTTTCTTTACTTTCCATCCCGACTTTCGGCCTTCTATCGCTCCTTCACTCCTACGTATGCTTTTTCCTTCCCTTGTGCCTTGCCTCCTTCCCTAGTATTCATTCAAAACTTGTATCCACACAAACCTCTCTCCTATAGCATCTTTATACTTTAAATTTTAACTTCACTGCAAAGACAACACATTATTGTTGATTTTACTACACAGCATATCATGACACTAGTTACATGCCGTATTTTCGACAAATCATCAGAGGACCAGATGTGCATATTATTGCTAATAGAAGAAAATTACCGCGCGAAGAAAAGATTGTTCAAAACTGTCTTATCATAGGTCGGCGATCTTCAAGAGGGCGCCTATACGAATGGAGGAACGCGGAGGACCATTTCTCATGACTTGACATGCTATAATTAGGCTGTCTGCCGAACGCCGTGAGAATTTCCCAACCCTAAATCGCCAAGCAGATGTAAGTGGCGTTCGTGGACTTCTCGGCGTCTCTATTAAAAACGTTGTTTTCTATTTTGTAGAAACGCCACTCAAATCCCTCAAAAGGCCCGCAAAACATGATATATAACTCCTTGGAGATTAGAGACTAGATTTACAATTCAGTCTCCGAGGCAACAGTGGTATAAAAGATACTAAAAACGATGAGGTAAGAAATCAATCACCCTTGCCAAGGAGTAGGGCGACCTACTTTAAGGACATTGCAGCTGACTTCCATGTGCCTATAACGTCTTGTGGTATTTCTAAGAAAGCTTGGAATAGCCTGGTTACCAGTACACGTTGAGGGCTCCCGGGTTTTATGAAAAGGTGACCTTCGAGAAGGAAGATCATCTAGAGTACCCACACAGAGAACACGGAATAAGATTATGATAATAAGATGTTTGCTAACTTTCCTTTATAATTTTGGTATCTCCTTTACCAATACAGACAATAGACTACAGACTATAGTTTATGTGAACTGAAGGGCCCTGTAGTTGTACTCTATAGAGAGATCATCCTTTTTGTCGTCAGTTATCTAACGTCATTTTTCCCTTCGGGCAGAAATATGCCATTATATTAATAGCCAACTGAATGAAGATTCCAAGTGTCGTTCAAGGACATACCCTTCAAAAAGAGGGGGGAATTTTATGGCATCTCGTTCCTTTAGCGGAATGTGATCATTCTGGCACCCTAGTTTGTCGTTCTGACTTTCCGATTCCCCCGAGTCGTCTGTCTGGGGTCACAGCTCTGCAGGTGGCCGTCTGTTCCCGGTTTTCCCGCCATGTTGGACGGTGTTGGCAACCTTGTCGTATGGCGGGCCGCTCGTGTGCGTCCTGTCGGGGTTGATAGGTCCCACACGTCAGCACGATTGGAAACACATGGGAGTTTATAGCCTGGAACTCCAAACTATACCCCAAACTATACATGCAACTGTAGAGGGCAAGTCGAAATAATAGCGCAATTATTGACACGAAGTGTGCGTGACTCCGGTGATTTGTCAATAGTTGATGAATTGCTTTGGGTCACCACTACAGTAGTGGTAACTCGTCTTGATAAGTGTTCTGGATTCTTCTTGTATCTAGTACCTGCAGAGACTTAAATTTGGCGCCCAAAGCTATCGCCGTGAAGCTCCCAGCTCCCTCATACACTTTAAATAGCATGATTGTAGTGGGCCTCCGGCTTTACGTCCCCACCAGAAAGAGCTCATGTTCAGCTCAAATTAATCATATGGCAATGAATACCCTATATTGCTATAGTATACAGTTAATAGGGTCCAAGCAAGGAGGTTTTTAATAGCTATCAAAGTCGTCAACTCCCGACTGAAACTATCGACTTCTTTCTTGTGTGTAGCCTTCCGTGACTTGGAACCTGTTTCTGGCTATTTGCCGAGGAAGATAAGGATCAAATATTAAACACTACTGGTTTAGATTTGAAGACGTCCTCATGTTCTTTCTTGGGGGTGACTTTGTGTGTGTTTTGTCTGCCAGTAGTGAACTGACTTTACTATCTATGTTGCGGTTCCCTATAGCCTGAGTTCGGCCCTATTTGACTATTTCCTCTCCGTGGTAACCATATACAGTACCCATTACCCTAACCTGGTTAACAATCTCTCCAAGGGCTACAGACTGGGTCTCCTCGGAATATAAGTTTCTTCCGAGATTTGTGCCTAATGTGGGGGGGGTGTTCTGGGCTAATAGAGGTCATCCAAGAACACGAAGTTCAAGAGAGCTTGCGTCTACTTGTGAATGAGATATGCCTTTTGCTTTTGAGAATTGAGATGCTATATTTGGGGTGATGATAGGACGTATTACGTACATGTAAACGTTGGGGGAGAGCCACATACAATCTGGAGAGGGTGTGAGTTTAACTGAAAGGAGGAGGGGTCTGGCATCATCTGGCCCCTGTTATCACCGCCCCACCCTCCCAGTGTCGGTATGTCAACAGCTACTCTGTCACTGATAACATGGACAGGGTCTGACAAGCTGGACGGGGAGAGATCGTTCATGTACTTCATGGGATGCAATATCAATTATTACACAAGGTAAATCAGTCATACTCTATGGAGGCGAAGTTTCGTGCTTTTCCTCTGGCTACAAGAAATGTCGCCAAATAGGCGTGAACTTGATTGATTGCATACTGTATATGAATGAGGGTTGACAGTGCAGGAAAACATCAAAGGAGTATGTGTACAAACAACATGTAACAGTTATCCCTAACATGTACAAACACAGTAATCGGCTGCATGACTAATGTATGTCTTTACAGACACCAGGACAACCGTACACGTATGTAAGGTTTACAAATACGGGTACTAGAATATGTAAAAGATAACATACTTTTCCACTAAGGAGGCGATCTCTAAGCTACCATTGAGTGACGAAAAGTATAGACGAACTCGATTGATTTAAATGTATTTTGTACATTTTGTGTTTTTGTTGTCTTTTAAATCATACTTTTAATGGACCATAAAACCAAATTTGGCCGTGCAATAGTCTCAATCCACCATGGAAAGCGAGAGCGGCTAGCTTTGCCTATCAGCGCATGTTCTCCACATGTAGTACATGCCGGGTCACTACCAACATCAAAGGCTTGTGATCAGGAAAGAACGCTGTTGCACGCGCCTGGAGAACATTACAGACACCGGTTTGAGACGAAAGTCAAAGAAAGTACAAAGCTGCTATGTGTTCCTGTTTAGCGGAATTAAAGACCAGAACATCTGTTAGAAACTTCAAGACAACGAAATGGACCCTAACTAAAGGGTACTTAGCTCTGAGGGAAAGCAGCTACCTTTGACCAAGAACGTGGCAGCCATGATGCCTGCTTTTCTTCAGAGCACCGCACATTTAGATAATACTTTTGTCGGCGGTGAGAACAGTTGGGTGTATTTGCCGACGATATAAAATATTTCTGCTTCATTTTCATGTGAGTATTTTAATCACATTTTGGTCTTAAGTGGCCACCTGTCTGCTGTGTTCCTTACTTTGGTCACGGACCGTATATATATATTTTCTTGTTAAGGTTTACAGTACCAGTGTATCCGTTCTTTGTATGTTGGTATGAACTAAACCGCAAAACATATTTTTCAAATATGACAGCGAATCAGCTTCAGACCTCTCGCTCTGGCCCTTTCTCTGTCGTATTTGTGACACACATCACATGTACCTGACGTTCATACGTATCTGTACATATACATACAGGCCCTTCTAGTTCAGTGAACTCTTTCGCGTGACAAGGCCCTATACGTTCAGCACATTCCGTTTTCTTAGAAAAACAAGCTGCAAGACGTCCGCTGTCTACTGCTGATTATTACAACAATTTCACCCAGATGGCCATGTGCTTGTAATCTTCTGTCTGTAGAAGTAGAGTCTGGCTGGTCTATATGTATGTCCCTTTCCCTCATATTAATTTGATTCACAGCGAATTCTTCCGACCTGTCTTCTCAATATACATATAGACCACCTGTCTTTTAACAAATTGACATCAGTGTCGTCCTTTCACACAGACATTTTCCGTGCCAATTAAACTGCCAATATATATTCACAGCGGAAGCAGTCTCGACTTCATTCGCTACTATTGCATGGAAGATTGTTAATAAAAATAAACGATCATATATTATAACCTTCTCTAGTGAGTATTCATTCGAGGGTGAAGGACAAACTCCGGAGATTACTGAGTAATCAAAATTAGATTTACATGACCTATGACTTTATAAAGTGAATATGATCCATGATGTGACGTTATAATTAGCAGTATGATTTGACAAACAAAACACAAAACTTACAAAGGACACAAAAAAATAAGGAAAGTTCTGAATAGTCTAAAACAGTCGCCGCTGAGTAGAAATGACGTCGACCTACATATCCCATTTCTTATCATCAGTTCGTGTGTACAGACAAAACTGATACACAGAACGGTACATGTATGCCAACTTATCAAAATGTAAACAGAAAAACCTGTCTAATTTGTAGAAAACACCGGAGCCCTAATCAGAGTTTGGTGCAGTGTTGAAAGATGACTTCCGTAGTTCCAGTCCCCCGACTGCTAATTGATCTGGTACAGACCACTAAACTGTTTAGGTGACATACTGTAAAGTGGTGTAAATATTTATACTTAGAACTTAAAATAACTTCATTCAGACGACGTACAGCTGACCACAGCCAGCTACATCCCTGTCCTGGCCACCATATATGTATATGGGATTATACAGGTACAAGTATCCGTCGACTTTTATCTAAAAGTGGGCGTGGTTCGTCAAATCACGCCTAAGCCTTAAGTTATAACGTGATTAGTATCATTGCATAGACTATCATCGAAATGGCACAATGGGATCGTATATCAATGGGAAAGTTATCACCAAGCACACCTGGTCATCCCTACTCTTCTCAATGAGTGTTTTGAGTTCTTTTACTTCCTGAAGTTACGTCCTTTCAACATCTGCTATTACACATCACTGACATTACGCACCTTTTCTGGTCCGACCGCGGGCCTCCTGTGGACCAGCGTATCTCTCCCACCTTCCTGCTCGGGAGCCGTCCCCCTGTCCGTCCGCCGGCATCTGCTCCTCGGACCGGTGGAACTCCGCCTGAAGCCTCCCGTCTAGCAGCTGCATCTCTAAAGCTTTGGCATGGATTTTCTCCTTCAGGAGTTCGTTCTGTAGGATGAGGACGCGTAGACTCTGATTCACGCGAAGTTGGCGCTCTTCCCTTAGACTGTCAACGGGGTCAGCATTCCTCCGAGAATCTACCCGCTCGCTTTCGCCACTGCCAGAAAATACGTGCTTGTTTTCTTCAGCTTGTTCGTCAGGTAAAAAATGTAAAAATTCATCAGCTTCGCTGTCTTCGTCGTCACTGTCATCGACGTCGGGGTCTTCTTCGTCGATGTCGTCGATGCTCGGCTGTTCTCGTCTCCGGTCGCTGTGGCCGTCGTGTCGGCCATGTCGGCCATGTCGTCCGGAGTGCCTCAGCCTGTGTTCTGTAACGCCGTGTTCTAATGGCTCATCGTCGCCGACAAACATCTGTACTTCACGTTGTTCGCGACCTTTGCTTTCCACTGACGGCTTGTTACTGTCGTGCTCGTCCCGCGACCAAACGCCGTGCCACGCCGGCGCGACGCTCGGGCATGTCTGCGACTCCTCCCGAGGCACCACGATCATGTACCGGCAGCTGTGTTCCGACTCGCTACTGTAGAGCCTGTTCCCTCTCGTCTCTCCCCAGTACATCCAGGGGCCCGCGTACTGCCCTGACGACTCGTCCGTAACGTCGTCTGACGACCGACCGCTCCTGATTGCTACTAAAACGTTAAAAACGGCCATAATAACAGTCAGGATGCGCATCTTGGTCTTACATAGCACGTTTACCTCGCACGTCCACGTTGTTACAAAACCGACACAACTAAAGACTAGGTAGACAGATAAAGGTACTTGTCGTCGGCAGCGGAAGCTTGGGGGCAAATTTGAAGAGATGAGAAGATAGCGCCCCAGACGTCGTGTTTGTTTCCACAGCTAAATTTGCCGCTCAAAACGGACCACTGCCCCTGGTTGGGCAGACAAATTATCCCTCAGGCTCGGAGCGCAGTACAAACTCCACATCCGTTCTCAGCCTGTTCCTAATCCTACTCACTCACGTGGAGGTGACCCTCAACCCCGCGCTGCCCGTTTCTAGCCGCTAACAAGCTTAGACAGCGAGACTACCCAGTAATGACATAGCCTGGCCTGACGGAAGGACGTCTGTGTTCAGAACAACGCGGCTGCCGGCCACACAAACAAGAAACAAGAGTTGTATTAAATAAAAACCTTCCTCCGCACGCACAAGCTAATTAAGCATGACCGGCGCGTTCTCTCATGTAGCCAATCTATTAAGGGTACGGCACAACAGAACTTGCTGTGTGCATTTCTAAAACGTTTGCCAGTCGACGTTCTTTATCGCCATCTGTTGAAAATGGTAAGAGTTATTCCACAGAATTCCGCCGTACATTTACCATATGTAGTCAGTGCGTCCCGACTCCGGAGCATTCCTAGACAACCCCTGGAAGTAATCCAACCTGAAGAAAAGATCGCCCCCTGCCGTACTTCTTAGAAGATTACCCGGTGTCCAGCCTGAGTTCCTGTAAAAGGCCGGGGCGCGACGTTGACAAACTGAGACGTTGTTCGGCAGGCTCCCCCGGTCTCCTACCGGCTCGCTGCCTGCTGTTTCCGATGATCCGTACTGTACACGACACACATTCTTATGGATCAGAGCGGGCCTCCCAAATAAAGATCCCCCAGCGGTTATGGATGCGTCCGTGCCGTCTCTATTGTCCCGTGTGTACGCGTGTGCTTATCAACTGGTGGTCGCAAATAAAGCGAAGACAAGACATGCAGCAGTGCCTCTTGCAAATGTCTTATCTGTCCTCTTGGTGGCTGCTTGGATCTTCTTGTTCACCTCCGAAATCCACACATAAGGCCAAGCTCTGACCGACTGCACAAAATCCCAGAGTTCCCGACCTCGTACCCCCTATAACGTCCTGCTGTCGTGAGGGGCCACCCCGGCCATTGTTTGCGCGGGCTTCCCCCTGCCTGGCCCCGCCGGACCGGTCTGTTTACACCCGGGGACCACGCCGTCGTTTCCCCGGCCAGGTCCTCCCAGTCAGCGTGGCCGCCGCGGTCAAACCGATAATCAGCCGACTTTAGGATTCAACAGGGACCGATCAGGAGATATTACCGGGGAGGGAGGGTGTCTGGCATACAAGCTTTTACATCCGTGACGGATCAATTATCAAAGCGTAAAGTACAGATATGGAGACCGTATTTGGCGGTGTCGCTAATAGAATTCTTTTCACATGTGTGGTTTGAAACACATTTGTCACGAAAATTGAATATTTCGGAAGTTCTTGGAAGGTAATGTATCATATCATAAGTACATGTTGATAACTTTGAAGCAGCGACAAAGACCAACAACCACCATCTATTTTTACGACGCCTTGGTAATTAAAATAGTAAATACAGGAAGATAAAGAAATGCCATAACCCTTGTGATTTACAGAAGACGTGATGAGTGCAAGATTAACTCGGATTAAGTTAATCTGTTTATATAGGATCATAGGTTCCGTGACACCAGTACTCGCACTCAACAAACACAACTATTTATACAGTTCGGATTGTTTTACCTAATAGGCTTGGACTGGTAGTACCCTTGGAAATGTAGAACTTCACTTGATATAATGCTTTTGCAATTGGATGTCAACCTGGATTCACTCAGAGCTCTTGTACTGAACACTTGCCTGACGGGTATCATTGGAAACTTGGCAACCTCCACTTAAATACCTTTCTCTCGGGTTAAACGAAGGAAAGATCTCTTAACCTAAACAGAGAAATCATTCGCTGAAGTCTCTTTTTCTACCTCCATGCTGAAGGGTACCAGAACCTTTTAAAGGATTGGGGTAACAAGGCCATGGCTTGTTGGTGAACCAATTCACACATCGCGCCTACGAAGTGCTAATCTCTTGCGCTCCCTGTCGGCTAGTTTGAAAATTGCAGTTCAGTTGAACGAAGCAACTCCCCTCGAAAATACTAAATGTTAAAAGTTTTAAACGACTGTTAAAATGAAGTATTATTTCCCTGCGTACTGGGCAATCATGCAAAAAAGACATGAGCAATGCCAATAAAGAATTCGCAATTTATTCATTGTTCACCATCCACTGCCAATGACAACTAACAATGCAATATGTTGAATTGGAAATAATTAAATTGAAACTTGAAACTTGTAGAGATCTATCGCAGTTAAAATACATTATAGTTTTGCACGATAAAGCTAGCTCTCCTCTAAGCGGTTGACAATCACTACCACATACGTATGCGACACACATTATTTATAAATTGGTCTGGCGACCGATCATACCAGTGTTCGCCAGGGTACTGAATATGCACAATATAGACTTTTTCATTGATAAACATTGGTGGCTATTCGTAACAAATAAGTCAATGACCTGACCCAGACGTCGCTCACCATGGTAACTGGTTGGGTTACATAATTATGTTACAAGTGCCATGCAGAACTGAGTTCAAGAGGGGCTGCATGGTCACAATATATATGAATGTTTCTGAGTAAGAATAAACAGAGCAGTAGTCTGTTAAGCAGGGCAATGTGAAGGTAAACATAATGTTACCTTTCTAGTTCCAGATTTGCCACCCGATTGTTCCCGGTGAAGAGTCGCCTGACCCCGCGGCGGATCTCCCTCAGACGGAGGCCGTAGATGACGGGTTGACGGCGGAGTTCAGGATGACGAAGAACAGCGTCGGTCTGACCGCGGCGCAGTCGCCGCTGGCGGCACACCCGAGGACCGCGACGCAGTACGGCAGCCAGCCCACCAGGAACACGCCGGTGATCAGGACGATAGTGACGGCGGACTTTCTGCTGGTGCTGGGCGGCGCGCCGACGGAAGCTTCTTGTTTTAAAATGTCGCTGACGTGCTGCCACAGACTGTAGAACACTCTCACGTTGAAGAACACGATCGCCATCATGGGGATGAAGACGAGAACCAGGATCAAGACCAGGTAACTGTGCGGTGTACCTCCTCCAAGCCAGGCACATCCGGGCTCGAACCTCTCACAGTTCCACCCAAAGACAGGCAGCATCGCCAGGACTCCGCTCCACACCCAGACCACGGCGATCGCGACCTTGCATCTGTCGTTGGTGACCTGGTTGACGTATGTCATCCCGTGGACAATGAACCAGTAACGCTCGGCAGTCAGAGTCAGGAGGCTGTACGCGGACGACAGTCCACAGAGCAAGCCCGGAGTAAAGAGTCAGTCGCGCTACGGTAGTGGAAAGAGATCTAGAAGGAGACGTCGTCACGATATCGATAATAATTGCTGTGAGGAAGGTTATGCCCGTCAGGACATCGCTTGCTGCCAGGTTGGCCATGAGTATGTTGACCGGCTTGTGCAGTCGCTCTTGCTTGATGATTGCAGCTAGTGGCAACATATTTCCCAGTATAGACCAAATTGCAAGTCCAATGGTAACGTATTTTGTCCAATCGGCTACAAATCCAACCGCATGGGTACTGTTACGCCCGCGGACATCAGATGCAGTAGACGTTGAATTTTCCTCCCCCCGTGAGCTGCTGTTGTTGTTCGCTGTAAACGTGTCACAGTCCCGAAACGTATCGTTGCATGGGTGTGAAGTAGGAAAAACGTCCGCACTGTTGCTAATTTCTGTCGTGGAGTTCAGAACTGCCTTCGGTGCCGAAGTCATCTCCAAGCAAAAGCTTGTGATGGTAAAAACCATAAGTGCTGTCCGTATATAAATATTATTATTGCGCATCTTTTTAAGAGTCTGAAAAGACACACTTCTTACAGAGATAGTCCTACGCTTGAATCTTATACCTGACTACCGCCGAAGGTTTGCCAACCTGTATCCTTGCGAAACCCTCTCCAAAAGTCTCCGACGAAAAGGCACAGGCATTCAGACGGGTGCCTGGCACGGTCTGTGCTGTCGAGTTGAGCTCTGCATACAATACCATCATCTGCTAGCTTAGTTGATTCCATTAAAATTTGCGCAGAGCATTTGCGATTGGCTTTTATAATAAGGTTTTTGAGACACCCTTTTTATGTAATGTACAAAGATTAGATTCAAGATATAGGAGATTGTCGGCTAGGATTACACTATAAAGCTTAGCACAATGATGCGAACAGGTGTTTTTGGAATTCAACACTAGGGGGAAGCTCTTACGTTCAGTCAGGCAATTTAGGTAGAAGACGGTAACGTTATTGGACCATTCAGGGATTAAAGGTCTTTGTCATATTGCACAGTATAACAGTAGAATTTCACATCTAATACATGTATCATATGCCCTAGCACTTTGGTTCGTCATTCCTGCGCACGACATGTTTCCGAAGCTCATTCTAAGATTAACAGGCATTTCCGACCTTCAACAACCACCTGCCGAGGCCACACGCTACCTAGGACAAAGTCTAAAGCTGTACTTAGCTGTCCGACATGAGTAACGAGGACTCAAAGCACAAAGTTAGATGTATAGATGGATTCTTGTTCGTTGATAAAGGTTATACATATTCTGGTAAACGATATTTAATACAACGTTTATCTCTGCAAATAATTTAAAAGCGTTATGATGAATATTAATATCCACCGTTCAATATTTTAATGGGCACTGAGAAATGACAATCCACATCGCTCAAGCACTCCGTATTTATTCCAGTTGAAGAGAATAATTTCAGCTGTTAATATCTTGTCCATAATTCTTTGCGATCAACAAACCAGACAATTTTGACATTACCACTTGACGATTGTGTCTTAAGTCCACTGGTCTAGCCTGGAGTCCAGCCTTGTTAGCTTTGGTCCGCTCCCCAAGATCCGCTACCCCGCCAACATGGCTACACTCGTCAGCACCAGGGCTTTCTCAGTATCCGGCATTACTTAAACATACTAACGTCGAAATTTGTTTGTTTGCATAACAGGTTAATTTGCCTTCCAGTATAATACACCAGTTTTGTAGGTTCAGTATAGACCAATACTGATGATACATAATTTTGATACAATCAGCTCCACTCACAATAATGTCGATAAATGTTGGGGTCTTTAACGTGCTCGAGGTGTGGCTTTCCTCATCAAACACGGGACCTACGGGTTTACATTCCATCCAATAGCCTATTAGGTCAATCCATGCTGAAATAGAACTTTATTGCACGTGGTACAAAGTACGGCAAAGTACAAAAAAAGAAATGTGTTGAATAGGGCATAATGTAGAATAAAACCTAATATGTCCTAATCACTCAAACAGCAAGGGCTAGCACGTCATTGAGTAAGTGTTACAATCCGTGTTGATTTGAATTTCCGGTTATGTTCACAATTCTCTTGTCTTGCACCAAGGTTGATAACCGGTCAGTCACCGATCAATGTGCATCATGTTTAGCCTCTTTCGCAGACTTCTGAGGCGGCGGCGTTAATTTTTTTTCGGGGAGCGACGGGAGTTATGCCGCGGAGGGACGGTTTTGCCGCAGAGGGACTTTGCCGCCTAAGAAAGGTGCAATATCATTATCAGGGTGACGTTGTGAGTAAACGTTGAGTCGAACACTGCCTGACCAGGAGTAACCGATGGCGTGCGTGTGCACATCCACGTCTTGCACCGGAAATCGTCCCAACTGCTGATTTCAGCAACCTGTATTTAAGATCTTGGGTAAAGCTAAAACAAATTTCAGACATAAGCAGGAAAACAAAATTCCTGATTTCCTGTGTATGCACCAGAAGGCCCGACTTGTTTGCACGTGTGTGGCTCGTTGTTTTGCATAGCTATATAGGCGTCACACGTTTTAAATGCCACGTAATCATTAAGATAAGGGCACCTTTATAAAGCGAGCTTGCTAAGAGCCTAGGTAGAATCGACAGACCTGCAAGCTAGGGAAGGCGACCAAACGGCACCTAGGAAACTTGCATTGTAAGTACCACCATGTTATAACTTCGAAGCGTTCGAAACCCGTTGTTTTTCGGACATTCTCCTGTCTTTTACGTTCAAAATTCTTCCATTGCAATCAGAATTGATCTCAAATAGAAAAGTATATATAACAATTTGATAAGTAAAAAACAGAATAGCCCTGTTAGATATGTCTCCTTCTCAAGCCGACAATTACTAACTTTGCTGTCTTTTTTCCTTTCTTCTCTTCCAGAAAGGAAAGTCAAAACTTCACCATGAAATTCGCGCCGCTCGTTGGATTGTTCATACTGTCTATAGTATGCCAAACTCAGTCCGCTCCGGCCGAACTGAAAGCCGCTGAGGTTGACCAAGAGCAGACCAGGAGAAGGCGGTCCATCCTCGCAGCGGTCATCCCCGCGGCAATCGATCTGCTGCAGCAGGGGATAGAGGAATACGGGCGGCGGAAAGCTCAGGAGCTGGAGGAAGCCCAGCTCGAGGCCCTCCGAGACATCCAGCGGAAACTTGGCGTTCTGGACCGGAAGGTCGACGCACTCCAACGCACCATTGGACGGCTGCAGTTTGGGCAGCAATGGCTAGAGGGCGCTGTGCTGTACGGCAATGACATTCAGGTAGGAAGACACATACATTTACCATTAGTTTCATTGTTGAGATGGCTATTAAGGGGAGAATTATTGTTGGCTTATGTCTGATTATGATATCAACGCACATTAGCGGCTTTTCTTGGAATTACAGGCGTGCATTTTTAAATTTGTTGAAAATGTTGAAACGGGATAACTGAAGAGAGGACGAATATTTTATATATATATTATATTATTATATTTTCATGATTTGGGACTTGTTATTTCAGAGGTTGGAATATTTCCTGGACTTCTTGGAGAGACGCCTGAGCCCGGGAAACAGCGGGCAGCTGGTGCCGACTAACCTGGCGGAGGAGTGGGCGGATGCCGTACTCTCTCTGGACGACGACGGAGCAGGACAGGTAAGGATTTTCCGTCCGAGTCTGAATAGATAGCAAATATATACATGCAATATTCACAACGATCCCTCTCCTTAGTACAACAGGTTTTACTTACAATGCTAACTCCCAAAAAATTGTATAACAACACTAATATCTACTAGTATTTTGATTAACCTTTATGCAATGAGGCCGCCATGTTTGTTTGTGACCTCAAGTGTTGGCTGTCTAATAAACATGTTCCGTTTCGTAATTAATGCAAATACACAACACTCTTTTTCTTACTGATACAGGTTTTACATAATATCCATGAAATGATCATCGGATCTTCTGGACTTTTCGGCCGAAACTCGCTCTTCGTTCTGTACGAGAGCACTCTGGATGGGCAGTCGGACCAATACTGGCCCAAGGTAAGGAATTTCAGTACATCATCTATGTTGGATACTAGTAGTACATGTATATAGAATACCATTGGCTTAAGCTTACATCTAGGCAGTGTAATAAGTTATTGTCTACATATTACACTAGTACGTTGCGTACTATATAGAATCTTGATATAGCCATATTACTATTGCATAATTACAATTTGGATTCTGAAACGTTTTTCTAAATTATTTCCAGGTTCGCCAGTTTCTGGATTTCACGTTTTCGATCCAAATAGCCGGGTACGCCGCCTGGGTGACGTCACTCAACATCAAGAACAGGACCCTGCAGGAGGTTAGTGACGTCATCGACACGGCCAACACCCGGATTGAGCAACAGAGAGTTTTCCTGCTGCCTTACACTAAAGGTAAGCAGTGTTTGTTTTAAAACGTACTTCCCATTCCATATGGGATCATATGGTGTATAGGGCAGCGACAATAGTCTTTTCCTTGGCCCTTGGGCCACACAGCGGTACCGGAACATATAATACTATTACTACAGAGGGGTCTAGTCCACTGGTAGCAGTGTGTATAGGGTGTAAGGCCAGGGATCTAAGTGCTAAGCAGATCTATAGAAGCAGTGTGTAACCTTTTCGAAATCTTTAATTTTCCTGGTATTGTTGTTGAACTGTCCCCCCACTTTTAGAATATTTTGTATATATAATTTTTTTGTTACATTTTTTTTCCTATTTTCTTCTTTAGAGTGGCCCAAGGGATCGTACGGTCTACCGAGGACCAACACAGGCTGCCCTGTAGCTGCGAACGCTAGGTGGCGCGGCGGAGTACGTCACCACGACACTGAAGACGACGACAACAGCAACGCCTGGATCGGCGGCATCCACTTCGACGGCGGCTACGGAAGGAACATGGACCAAAAGTTCTGCATGAAGGTCAGTTTTGCTTTAATACTTCGGTCAGTGGGTGTCGCCATGTTGGTCTGTGACGTCTTGGGTCGGCCATCTTGTTTTCGGAATATCTACCAAATTATAAAAATAGTTCTCTCTTTTTTGGGTAGTCAATACCGACCCTTTTGGCTGCAGGTTATGCAAAGAGTTGTATGGATATTGTCATGTCTAGAATCTTAAGTTATTTTGGTACAGTATTGCAACACAAATATACAATTGTATGCGCGTGTTTTCAGACTGATGCCGACATGGGTGAAGGGAACTGGCCAGCCGGGAACTACTGCATCTTCAAGAAGGGAAACTGTCCGACTGGTAAGTGTTGTACTAAGTCTGTCATATAATATAACATTTAATGAAATATTGAAATACGAACACATGCATCTTTCGAAATAGAGCATTTAATTATATTATTGTAACTTCAAAGTAACGGTTCGATTCAAACCTTTTACTAGAGTTCCATCTATGCTGTGTTATGTTATGTTATGTGTAATGTTGTAAAGTTCCATCCATACTGTGTTATGTTATGTGTAATGTTAACGTTATAATTATCCATACCGCATACTGCAAGAAAGTATCACGCACAAAAACGACTATTGTTGTCTCAGAAGACCATGCTAGTTTGTGACGCCATGTACTGTTGTTTTCAGGTTTCCAGTGGGGTAAGCTGAAGTGGGACGACGAAGATGACGACAATCAGAACCGCGCGAGTGGCGCGTTGCCTGACGGGAGTTACGGCAGGAACACGGAGATCCAGTACTGTTGCCGGGGCGACGGGAGCGCGACCACGCCCATCGTCCTGCCCAGCCGCAGGCCGTTCTATCTCTTCCGCTTCAGGGCCGGATGTCAAAGGGTAAATCTATCACAAAATGTTCTGGTTGATGGAAATGCTTATAGTTCGATTTGTACAATCAAAATATGAACGTTAACTTGTCAGCATGTGGGATGACAAAATTTACAAGAAGTGTGCTGCTCGTTTCACCGTTCCTTATCCCCTTTACTCTCCAAGAACAGGTTCAAGCATTGGCTTTTACGACTTGTTTTTAGTCGCTTTTATCGTGCTTTTTTTTGTTCTGGTGTTGTTGTGTCTTTTTTTTTTGGCGCAAACTTCAATGTGTTCAAGTGATTTGGGTTTATAGCGTATTGACTTGACGTATATGATCTAATGGTGGCGTATTGGATACTGCCTTGCCAATTTGATACTGCATTGCAGTCACCAAGAGATCTTCTTGCAGATTATTAATAAGCTTCCTGTTTCCCCAGGTTGCAGACATGTCCGTCCGTGAGGAGTGGTTTCGGTGGGACGATGAAGACGATGACAATCAGAACGGGTACTACGGCGCACACCCGTTTGATCATGGCGGCAGGAACCACCAGATTCACTACTGCTACTACTCTTAGATAAAAAATATCGTTTTAACTACAAGTTCCAACACAACACAGATGAAACTTTCAAGCTATAGCTAGTTATATTAAGCTCACGCATTTAAATTGCCCTTCACAATAATGCTCTTGAAGTAGAGATGTGATATGAAAGATAACATCTAAAGGAATAAAAAAACTGATCCATTCAACCACGCCATTGTTGGTTGAGCTAGCTGATGTAAACCAAGGATTAATCTATTACAGTGGGCAACATGGAACAAGAGTGTAAATACATGTACTGTATAATCGTGGTGAAGTCAAAGACGTAATGCGTAATAGCCGTGTGACGTGAGCAGTGCCGGTCTATAAATAACAATACTAGCGTTTGATTGAGAAATGGTATGGTGTTTGGCCTTTAATTGTTTATTAAATGCTTCACCTTACATGTCATATAGCACAATAAAATATGGCAGAGTACCTAACGTGTTTGTCATGCCTAGCCCCTATAGCTATTGTGCCATTGAAGATCGAATAGATTTATACCCGGACAGAAACTGACTGGAAAGGTGCAATTCAATCTATCTTCCCGAGAAATTGAAGAGTGACTTAAATGTGCGTTTGTCAATGTTAGGGCACGTGCGTGTTTGTAATGAAATACGACGGTCTAGCGATATTCGTGCTTCTATCGTTTACCGCCTGAGATCCATGATGCAGCCTCCCCTCGAAAATACTAAATGTTAAAAGTTTTAAACGACTGTTAAAATGAAGTGTTATTTCCCTGCGCACTGAGCAATCATGCAAAAAAGAAATGAGCAATGCCAATGAGGAAATCGCAATTCATTCATTTATTCGTTGTATTCATCCACTGCCAATGACAACTGACACGGCAATATGATGAATTGGAAATAATTAAATTGAACTTGAAACCTGTAGAGATCTATCGCAGTTAAAATACATTATGGTTTTGCATGATAAAACTACTTGTTAGCTCTCCTGTAGGCGGTTGACAATCACTACCACATACATATGCGACACACATTATCTATAAATTGGTCTGGCGACCGATCATACCAGTGTTCGCCAGGGTACTGAATATGCACAATATAGACTTTTTCATTGATAAACATTGGTGGCTATTCGTAACAAATAAGTCAATGACCTGAACCAGGCGTCTCTCACCATGGTAACTGGTGTTGGGTTACATAATGTTACAAGTGCCATGCAAACTGAGTTCAAGAGGGGCTGCATAAGTCACCATATATATGAATGTGTTTGAGTAAGAATAAACAGAGCAGTAGTCTGTTAAGCAGGGCCATGTGAAGGTAAACATAATGTTACCTTTCTAGTTCCAGATTTGCCACCCGATTGTTCCCGGTGAAGAGTCGCCTGACCCCGCGGCGGATCTCCCTCAGACGGAGGCCGTAGATGACGGGGTTGACGGCGGAGTTCAGGATGACGAAGAACAGCGTCGGTCTGACCGCGGCGCAGTCGCCGCTGGCGGCACACCCGAGGACCGCGACGCAGTACGGCAGCCAGCCCACCAGGAACACGCCGGTGATCAGGACGATAGTGACGGCGGACTTTCTGCTGGTGCTGGGCGGCGCGCCGACGGAAGCTTCTTGTTTTAAAATGTCGCTGACGTGCTGCCACAGACTGTAGAACACTCTCACGTTGAAGAACACGATCGCCATCATGGGGATGAAGACGAGAACCAGGATCAAGACCAGATAACTGTGCGGTGTACCTCCTCCAAGCCAGGCACATCCGGGCTCGAACCTCTCACAGTTCCACCCAAAGACAGGCAGCATCGCCAGGACTCCGCTCCACACCCAGACCACGGCGATCGCGACCTTGCATCTGTCGTTGGTGACCTGGTTAACGTATGTCATCCCGTGGACAATGAACCAGTAACGCTCGGCAGTCAGAGTCAGGAGGCTGTACGCGGACGACAGTCCACAGAGCAAGCCCGGAGTAAAGAGCAGTCGCGCTACGGTAGTGGAAAGAGATCTAGAAGGAGACGTCGTCACGATATCGATAATAATTGCTGTGAGGAAAGTTATGCCCGTCAGGACATCGCTTGCTGCCAGGTTGGCCATGAGTATGTTGACCGGCTTGTGCAGTCGCTCTTGCTTGATGATTGCAGCTAGTGGCAACATATTTCCCAGTATAGACCAAATTGCAAGTCCAATGGTAACGTATTTTGTCCAATCGGCTACAAATCCAACCGCATGGGTACTGTTACGCCCGCGGACATCAGATGCAGTAGACGTTGAGTTTTCCTCCCCCCGTGAGCTGCTGTTGTTTTTCGCTGTAAACGTGTCACAGTCCCGAAACGTGTCGTTGCATGGGTGTGAAGTAGGAAAAACGTCCGCGCTGTTGCTAATTTCTGTCGTGGAGTTCAGAACTGCCTTCGGGGCCGAAGTCATCTCCACGCAAAAGCTTGTGATGGTAAAAACCACCAGTGCTGTCCGTACAAAGGTATTCCGCGTTTTGCACATCGTTTTAAGAGTTTGAAAAGACGCACGTGCTCATAGATCTTCTTACAGAGATGGTTCTACCCTTGTATCTTGCTGACTACCACCGAAGGTTTGCTGTAGCTGAAAGACTTACTTGCCAACCATTCAGACAGGAGCCTGGCATGGTCTGTGTTGCCGAGTTGAGCTCTGCGTACAGTACCATCACCTGCGAGCTATGTTCCTTCCATGCTGTGTTTAATGCTGTAGATTGGCGTAATGCATTTGCGATTGGCTTTTACAATAGTTTTTTTAGACACCCTTTTTATTTAATGTACAAAGATTAGATTCAAGATATAGGACATTGTCGGCTAGGATTACAGCATAAAGCTTAGCACAATGATGCGAACAGGTGTTTTTGGAATTCAACACTAGGGGGAAGCTCTTACGTTCAGTCAGGCAATTTAGGTAGAAGACGGTAACGTTTTTGGACTATTCAGGGATTATAGGTCTTCGTTAGTACAACATAACAGTAGGATTTGATATCCAATGTCATATACCATAGCACTTTGATTCGTCCTTTCTGCTCACGACATGTTTCCGAAGCTCATACTAAGATTAACAGGCATTTCCAACCTTTCGGATGTGATGACGAGAGTCGGAAACGTACAGAAGTTAACCACCTGCCGAGGCCGCACGCTATCTAGGACAGAGTCTAAAGCTGAAGATTGTGCTTAGCTGTCCGACATAAGTAATAAGGACTCAAAGCACAAGTCTATCTTATAACAAACCATTTTTCTGTGTTGGCATTTGTTGGTCACATGCCGATATTAGTTGAAACTAAAAACCTCAATGATAAAGCTTGAATATACTGCTCCTAGTTCTTTCTTATGAGCAACTAAAATGTTCTATATTGTTTGCTCTCTCTTGATAGAAGAAAACATACTCGAACAAGAATTCGGAGATCTCCTACCTCCATGGTCGACAGTTAGAAACCTTATCGTGAATGAATGTAAATCAAGAAGGTAGATCAAACGAAAGTTTATACGCATAACGTTCTTTATTTCGTTCTCTTCCATGAAATTAAAGGAGATAAAACTTCACAAATCTCAAATAAAAAGATCTTCAGTACGAGTAAGACTCAGGGACAAATTTTAAAGTAATACCAATCATTTTGCTTTTTCTAGTGCTTCTTAGAAACATCTGAGATTACTGACTGTACACACGATGATACATTTATGTATGCAACAATTTAAATGAGTAAAGCTTGTCGCTCAGTACCATTACGAATAGTAACAGTAGTGAAGTCTATGGTTGTTGGTTCCGCCGTCGTCGTACGGATGCGCCCCCTGGCGGCGGTTCTGGTTATCGTCATCTTCATCATCCCAACGGAAGAACTCCTCTCGGACATTCATTCCAGCGACCTGTAAGCGAGATACATGTACTGTTTTAGTCTCAAAAGCTTTTACGGTGAGTATCCTAAGTCAGGTATGTTGGATATTGTTCTAAGTTGAAGAAATTCAGTTTCTAAATAAAACAATTAATTTTCCCAGCCCTGAAAGAGGATGAGTATCATCTTTGATTGAATGTCCCAAATATAATGGAAGAATATCTTCTTATTCCACCAAAAACTGTAACAAGTATATGATCTCATGCTATACTAGTCATTATATATGCCCGTCTTTTGTACAGAAGATTTGTTTCCTTGAACCTATATACAAGTTGACATTATCACATATGCTGTATCAATATGCAATTGTTGATCCATAAAGCTATTACTCGTAACCAAGAGGTCCCGGGTTCAAGTCCTGACATGCCACCGATCTTGTGCCGTTGGGAAAGGCACTTTACACGACTTTCTCAGTGAAAATGAGTATTGTCTGTCCTGTATTTGTTTCTATGTGTGGGACACAACACCGGCAACAGCTGCCCATGTGTTGCACTGTTGCAATTTCAATAAATCGAAATCAAATCAAAGCTATTATCAACATCGTTATCATAATCCTCACCTTCTGGCAGCCCTGTCTGTAGCGGAAGAGGTAGAAGGGACTGCGGTTGGGTAGAGAGATGTGTCTGTTGGCGCTCCCGTCGTTACGGCAGCAGTATCTGATCAGGGTGTTCCTGTTGTAATTCCCGTCAGGCACCTCGCCACTGCGACTGTTTCCGTTGTCGTCATCTTCATCGTCCCAGTAGATCTCACCTGATTGGAAACCTGAGGAAAAAACAACATCATGTAAATGCCGTGTTATCTTTGGCGAGACGTTTATGTTTTCGGAATCCTTTGTTGAACAACAGACCTCAATTACATGCTGTGGATGCTATGAAATTTGGTACGTGGAGAGGACTTGATCTGCTAACGAAATTTTTAGGTTACGGTCACTTGGCGGCTTTCCTGTGTACTGCAGCAGACCGGTTTTGGTTGTACATTTCATCTCGTGTTCATCTCGTGTTCATCTTTAGACATGATGCGGTACCGTTCACGAATTTGCGTGGTAGATTTTGTGCTCTGATAGAATTGTGGTGTTTTTTTATGACTTTGAAAGAATTTCCCTTTCAGGCAATAAATATGTCAGGATCTAGGCATAGGGTTAGCATTATCTTAGGCAACTCGATCAGTCTTTCCCACACGGAAATCTGAGATGGCAGACTTCGCCCTATCAATACATCCTCAGTGCCGTTATTTGAAAGTTAGAACCTGTAAGTACATGATTGTGTATTGACAGTACTTACCTCCTGGACATCCGCCCTTCTTGAAGATACAGTAACTCCCGCGCGGCCAGTTGCCATCTCCGTCTCCTGAGGTAGTCTGCAGAGAAAAAACGCCATATTTTATACACCATGAAATTAAGAGTTAAGACTAGTCGATTTTCAAAACAAGGTAACAAGTTACATATTTTGTCAAAGCTCCCTAGAAATGTTGTAATCTCCACCCACCTTCATGCAGAATTTCTGTTCCATGTTGTTTCTTCTGAATCCACCATCAAAATGTATGCCGGATGTCCATTGGTTGCTGGAGTCGTCGTCCTCGGTGTCATGCTTACGGACGCCGGTGCGCCACCTAGCGCCTGCAGCTACGGGGCAGCCTGTATTCGTCCGGGGGAGACCGTAGGTACCCGTCGGCCACTCTGTGTCAGAAAAAGATATGTTAAGTTCATACACTGCAAGAGAGCACATGTAAACGACTCCTAAGGGCGGCGTGCAGTCAGTCTTTTCATGTGCCTTTGTGTATTATTTTCGTCTGATTGAACTTTACACTCGCGACGCGTCTCTGCCACTAATCTAAGCACTAAATGGAAGAAATGCACAATGGAGATAAACTTACGTTTGGTAAACCGTTGGAGGAACTGTCGTTGAGAATTCAGCCTGTTGCGCCCCCTGGCGACGACAGCAGCAACTTCACCCCGCCGTCCCTTGAGGTTGAGAGCAGTGGCCCAGGAGGCGTACCCGGCCGTCTGGATGGAGAACGAGAACTCCAGGAACTGTCGGACCTAGGAGGAGAAGAGAGCGTTAGTAACATCCTGTGCATCTGTAACGTGGTCGTCAGTCTATTCCATTGCTGCAGGATAGGTGTTCTGGCAACAGTTCTATATTAATGCATTTCACGGTAAAGAAATATGAAATCCAGAAATGTCTTGGAATGCAAAGTTTGATTTCTGTACAATAAATAGATGATGACAAGGATTGATCGGTGGCATGTCAGGACTCGAACCCGGAACCTCTTGGTTCCGAGTCGAGCACTCTGCCGCTTCGCCACACAACCCCACACATTGATTGGTTGATCTATCGATCGATCGATTGATTGATTGGCTTACCTTGGGCCAGTAGTCGTCGGAGTCCTGGTCGAGGCGACTCTCGTACAACACGAAGAGCGAGTTTCTTCCGAAGATTCCCGAAGTGCCCATCACCATGTCGTGAAGGTTGAGGAGTGCCTAAACCACATCGGAGAAATGAATATGCCATGATTCAAGTTTTCTCAGGCATTACTTGTATTCTCGCAGCCATTTTTACAATGAAAAATAAAGGCATTTCACAACATAGCTGACATAGTTTTAAACGAATTCTTCGTACATGGTGTGAATGAAAACAAGTAATAGCTATATGAGTTCAAAACCCCGAGGAAAAGTTGTCATGATATCGACAAGACTTCGAGGAAAAATTGTTCTTACCTGTCCGACGCCATCAGAGCCCAAGTGGAGCACGGCGTTTGCCCAGTTCTGGGCCTGGTTGGCGGGGAGCAGCTGCCCATTGTTGCCCAGGTTCAGGTTGTTGTCAAGGAAGTTGATGAAGTAGTTCAGTCTCTGGAGGTGCACAAAAAAGGATGCCATTATGTAGCTGTGTTGCACAGTAACTTCTAAAACTCCAACACAATGGGGGAGGGGTGAGACTGGCATAATTTTCAATAGAACAGCAACACTCTTTTGTCGACGAAAAGTCCACCCCTTCAATGATGACATGGACCAAAAGTTACAAAAAAGTTAATATCATCCTCCGTCTCTAGTGAAGCGAAGTATACAATGTTGAATTTTTGTGTCAGGAAAGTCCCTTATTAGTAGATCATCATGTGTGCTATATCTTGGAAGATCCTACGCAGAATTGAAGTGTTAGAGTCTGAAGAAAAATACGCAAAACTGGCAAAACTGGAAAAGGAAAGGTACCTGGATATCCCGGCCGTACAGAACAGCGCCCTCCAGCCACTGCTGGCCGAACTGCACGTCCCCAAGCTGCTGTTGCAGCTGGTCAAGTTTCCTGTCCAGGCGGTCCAACTTCCGGTTGATTTCCCTGAGTTCATCCAGCCTCTGTTGCCCGTTGACGACCCCGTAGATGAAACTTCCCGCCCCGAACACTGCGCTGGCGATCGGCGCCACGGCGGCCAGAGTCGCGAGAATAGCCACCCTCTTCTCGCGAGAAACACTTCCATCCGAGACCTTAGTGAGAGAAAAAAATTAAAGGTGAATTACTCAAACACATCATGTCATATATATGGTCAGACAAGAGTCTAAATCCCTCCTGCTATAAAATTGCAACATGATGTAACCCAACACCAGTTACCATGGCAACATACACAACATTGGTTCAGGTCAGTGGTCACTGTTTGGAGAAGAAGAAGAGGAAGAAGACTCTAAGCAAAAACAATATGTTTTCCTTCGGTGAGCATAATTAATATATTGATACATAGAGTTGTAAACTCTTCAACTTGCATCTTGCTTTGTTAACCTCTTTGCATCCTGTAAGACTAGATATCTACCAAATTAAATGATTTTTTAAAATAATTTTGTTCATAATGCAGTTCGTGAGAGATACTTACTTTAGTTGAGTTGGGCATTGTCTCTGAGTCGACTTCTGGTGCCAGCATGATGTCCATATCTGTGTTGGATAGGAAGGGGCGTATGTGAGCTGAATCCAGAAATTACTTTTCATTAATTTCTGTAATCCTTTTAATAAAACTGATTACGTTTGGAGTTTTGTAAATGCGCAGGTGGCAAGCTAAAGTGCTTATAATACCAAAGTACAACATTGTCTGATCAGTTTGACGCAGTGTGATAATTCATCACATGCATGATTATGATTCTTGAAGTGATTGCAAATGTAGAGTTCGTACTACAGTACTTACAGTCGTAGATGTTCCCTTTCCCGCTGTCGTACATCTCTAACGCACCAGGACGGAACTTGAAAATATCATCTGGAGTTTCTGAAAAGTAATCATAGGAACCGGCATGTCAAAGTCGGGTTTCTGCTGCAGTACCAGAGATAGCCAGTAGGGGCCATACTCGTCTCGTTTTTTTAATCCAACGTTACTTATCAAATATCATAAAAGATCCATTCACAACTTTTCGAATATAATGCTGTTCATAAAGACACACACACACACATACATACACACACGCACATACACACACACACACACACAGAGACACACACACACACACACACACACACACACACACACACACACACACACACACACACACACAGAAAATGAAGGAAACAGAAGCTTACCTTTTTGTGCGACGTCGGTTGGTGCACCCTGGCACAAGGCCACCAGAAGTACGGACACAACTGCACACCCGCAAACGACCATGCTGCTTCAACTGGCCTAAATTAAGCCAAACGTAACTTATGATTGACACAGTACATGTAATAGATCTAGATAATTTACAAGCAGATGTACGACGTCAGTTTAGTTTCAGTTTTTCGCGGGTTTTGAAACATTAAATTCGTTTTTGTAGTAGTGAACCTGTTAATTGTTCCCGTTTGCAGTGGTTCCTACCTACTAGCAAGGATTGGGGCCGCCCAAGCCTCCTGTGCCTTCGCAGACTTCTTTATTTGCGGGGAGCGACGGTTTTGCCGCGTAGGGACTTTGCCTGGGCAAGGAGCCGGGGAGAGACCCTCGGCAAAGTCCCTCGGCGGCAAAACCATCACTCCCCGCAAAAAAATCAACGATCATCATCAATGCTACCGCATCAGAAGTCTGCGAAGGAGGCTAGGGCGGCCCCGAGGTGCCAAGCGCACACCGCTAGAGGTAGACAGACACATACGAAAAGTCGCAAACGACGAAAAATATAACCTGGGCTGATTCATCTACTTGGAGATCAATCGTATAGAAATGAAAGCATATACTTCGCAACCAAGAAAACAATCATGAAGACAAAAAAAAGAACGTAACTGATCACGGAATATACGAATGCTGAATGAAGAACAAACTTACCTCTTGATATAGGAGCTCAAATGTTGTTCCGCTACTGCAGTCAAAGACCTGCCGTTTTCTGAATGTTCCTTCGTCTTCCAGTCTTTTTATGCACCACAATTTGCATGAAACCGTAGTGACGATTTCTCAGTAACCAGGAAGCCCTTAGCAGGCGCGACTCGTTCCCAGGCTGGCAGCGGAAGTCGGCTGCTGATTTCAGCAGGTGCATGATGATGGGGGCGTGGCGCTAACACCCCAGATGTTGTCGCAGATATTTGCTGACTTGCCGCAAACATTTGCTGACTGAAAGTCCCAGGTAGTGGACAGGATATTTGTATATAAAACGTCGCTGGATGGATTAGATTTTGCTGACTGTGATTCAAGCCTAGTTCTAAAACAAAATCTTATTCAGGGAAATTGAAAACACAAAGAATGAATGAATGAAGGATCTTTATTGCATAATACCTGCCCAAGTCAAATGGCTAAACGCAGTGTATTACTAGTATTCAATATGAAGCTTAAATACATCTGAAGCTGTCAGTATATGTTATATAGTACAGAATCTGCTGGACACGCGTCTTCATCGGAAGATACGATTGCATGGGTATACCTAAATATGAAATCATTTGCTGAATGGAATATGTACAGCTCCGAGTATCTCGTGTTTGGCACTCAGCCCTGCGTACATGTAAATCTCTTTCATGATCATGAGGAAATCTTAACCGTACTGTGTTGTAAAGCGCTAGCGACAGTTAGTGTTTCCATGTTGGTCTATAAACTGTAACGGATAGAAAATAGATGAATATGTGGTTTTGGAGAAGTAAGAAAGAGGAAATAGACAAGAGGGCATAGTTAACGTTCTTGGAAAGGCCTGAGTCACTGACCTTGCTATTAGGAGGTCACAACTCCACATGAGATTCCTACGCCTGTGACGTAAGGTTACGACCTTACAGTCCAGTGAAATTGGAGAGGATTGCTTCCTTCCTTCTCAGTTATACTTCTCAGTAGCTTCTCAGTAGATACTTCCTTCTCAGTTCTCCAGACGCGCTTTCTTCAGTTATCTCACGTATCTTGGGGTTGTGTCCTCGATTTTAGCACCCTTCTTCTTTCTTAGAAACGGAACATCGAGTACAGATGAGCGGGAAAGTATATATGGAATAGTCAGACTCCTTTGCTTGCTAAAAAAATGTAACGGCTCTAGATCTGGCAAATGTGCTGATGTTGACACATTGGCGCACCAAAATCCGTAGTGTGTTAGTTTGGCACACAGACAGATTAAGAAGCTCGGTGGGCGTCACTCCACCGTACAGGTGGGGAAGTCGTGTAAAGTGCCTTTCTCAAGGGCGCAAACGTCGGGCCAGGGTGAGTATCGAACCCGGGACATTTGCTTGCTAAAATAGTCTAATATTGCCAAATGAGGAATAATTCGCCAGGGGCGTTAGCTGGTCATGGAGTTACACGACAACTGTGGTACAAAATGTACTAAAAAATAGCCGGCTAACTCCTTTGACAAATTATTTTTGGCCAATTCTACCATATGCATTTCTTCTGCACGGCAAAGAAGTCTGGTACGGACTTCGCATGAGCAGGTCATATGTGAAAGTTGCATCCCTAAGATGACTAACTACTTCGAAAACGAAACGACTTTATATTTGCGCACAAGCGGACACATAGAAAACAGGATGACGACAGGGAATTCCGCCTGTAATCTACGTAGTCCCCACATAACAAACAGGAAGTTTATTTTCTGGTATATTTATGACAAGATGGCCCCAAAACTATGGAAAATCATAACGTGATTAAAGAAAATTATACAAAATTGACTCAGGCACAGGTGATAAGGGCAGTGTCAAATGGCACATGCACAGCCACTCGTAAAGCTTGGCGAAAATGAACAACCCCTTTAGGTCAACGACCTACGACCTACAAGACGAACCACATGTGAAGCCAAGGAGCTCGAGGGTTTGTTTACGGAAAACCCGTCTGACGCCTTCTGAGAAGACACTGGGTCAAAGTTGACTTCTTCCGTGATTATAGTACAATGTGCTGCTGAAGCGGGCCGGAAGTATCTGACAATATTGATCAGTTAAACGTGTACCTTGCAACTGAGGAAGCTTACAAAGGATACAAAGCCTAATCTTTCTAAGTTAATGTGTACGCTTGTATCCTTGGACTTGCTGCCAGTGGCGGTGTCCAACACAGTCTGAACGCATAGCAGTGACCTGGTACAGCGGTGTTTCCAATTTGTGAACACCTCCTGGTGAAATATCTGCGGTGACGATTTGAGGAGATTGAACCGCGGTAAGCCATTTTTACTGACTCTCACTATTGGAAACAAGCTTGCAATAGTTCGCGCCCTAGGCTTTTTACTGGGCTTGTAGTACAGTATAGTATATCGCGACGTACATGAATTCCTGCAGGTGTGCCTGTATTATTTTCATTTCTGCACTTTTCAGCATTATCTATAGCAATTTAGCAACACGGGTAAACATTTTTTGCTGTGCTAGCTAAGTCATCAAGTAGTTTTAACGCACTTGGTCAACTTACTTTTACTTTAAATGTATGCTATTGTGGGGATGTAGTCAGGTTGTGAGGATTTCTGGGTTTATGGAGTTACCTTGCTACCCAAAAAAGAGAGTAGAGCACATGAGAATATACGTCATATAGTTTATTCAATGATATAAATAATATGATAATATTAATGATATCAATAATATTATTCAATATACATCAATTGTACATTCATGAACAGCTTACGTTAACACTACTGCTTGTGATAAACATTTAACAAACCACATTACCTACAAGCTACAACATACTAAAACTCGCTTGAAATGTGCATATAATGTGATTAATATACACTACAGTCTGAAGAGAAAACGTATAGTAGTTTGAGTTGACTCCAACTAAAACAGGTATGTAAGGTAACTCGGTGTCTCCTAGCGAACTAGACAGCAACAGTAGTTCGGACCGCAGTAGTTAGCTGAACAGCCGGCGCTGAAGTAGCGGTAGGTGGCGAGGCCGACTTCGCCAGCATCCGTCTGGACTCCGGGGTTGGGCTGGAGGACCGGCCGATTCTGGTACACATGGAGGGCATCGAAACAAGCTGAAGTGCTGCGGAAAAGAAAGAGTATCGGTTGGTTTTACCCTGGGTGCCAGGATAGTATCGGGCCGTTAGCCGTTTTCCTTCGGGAGCCAAGAGCCCTTCGCCCGCCTATCTAAATTACCGCTACGGGGGCTATGGGTCTGACGCCCAGGCTAGAGTTGAGCTCGATTTTTGGCTGGCCCTTCGAAGTTCTATGCCATAAAGCAATGCTGCATTGCAACAGTAATGGTAAAATCATATACAAACCTTCCTTGGTTATGGACAGTTGCTCGCATGGCGTCTCTTTGGGAAGTGCAGATGTCGTCACAAGTCGGAACGTCGGCTCCGCAGGTCCGACGGATGGCGAAGACGAACGAAGGTCCCTCGGCCGCCGCCGTACAAATGCTCTGCGCCAGCTCGTCGTAGAAGTTGTAGTACGCCGTGCCTGATCGAGAAGGAAGTTGAATGTTAGCCTCTTCGCAGATTTCTGATGCGGCGGCGTTAGGTTTTTTTCGGGGAGCGACGGTTTTGCCGCCGAGGGACTTTGCCGGAGAGGGACGGTTTCCGCGCACCACCGTCTCTCCCCGGCAAAAGTCCCTCGACCGGTGACAAAACCGTCGCTCCCCGAAAAAAATTAACGCCACCGCATCAGAAGTCTGTAGGAGGCTAATAGAATGTACGCAAATTAGTTAGCATGAAGATTAATTATTGTAAAGTATTCCGAATCGCATGGGACTGCAGTTTGAAAGGAAGCCGCTGGGGGAGTTTATCTCACCTCAAAGAAAGCATGGATAATATCACGTTAGGATATTTCAATCAAGGAGACACAGTCTTACCTTGTCGTACTTCGGTTGGTGAGCCCTGACACAGCGCCACCAGGAACAGTATCACGGTAACCCCCAAAACAGCCATCATGCACCAATCTCGTAACTGTAGTGAGTAGTCAAATATAATTGACATGTGTTTGAATCTTGTTGACTTGGTTATCAAAAGATCAATGAGATAAAGCAAAAATACACATGATTACAGTGAAGAGCCATGTGCGGTTTGCTCACAAACAAGCTTACCGTCGCGCGATAGAAGGACTCGAGGAGTTTTTTTGACAAAAAAACTGACTGTCAGAGACCAGTAACTTGTGACCACCGTTTACTGAATGTGATCATTACCTCGTGTCTCTGTGCGTTTAAATATCGTTGTTTCCTCAATAGTTGTCGTAGGACCGTCGTTTCCTTAGTAGTTTTCGGAGGACGTTTTCTCAGTATACGTAGGGTAGAGTATAGTGTTTGGCTCATACCCAAGAGGTCCCAGGTCACTGAATCCTGCCCGACGCCACCGCTCTTGTGCCATTGGGAAAGGCACTTTACACGACTTTTCTCAGGTGTAAATGGGTACCTAGCTATAGCTTTGGTTACGGACGTCCCTCGGATAGGACGTTAAATGGAGGTCCCGTGTTTGGGAGAGCCACGCCCCATGCACGTTAAAGAACCCACCACACTTATAGAAAAAAGAAGGGGTTCTTCCCGGTGTGAGTGGATCAAACCTTACAGTTTGGTCTCAGGTTTGACATCTTTGAAGAGATGATAGTTACCTGTTATCCTTTCTCAGATGTGGCAAATCTTCATAAATAAGTATACGCTCTACCAGTAGGCGTCGATCCAACATCTTTCTGTCTGACGCCTTCTTAGAAGGCACTTGGTTAAAGGTGTACCTCCCGAGGTCTGCATCTTTAATGCGAAGTACACCGGAAGTAGTATACTAGAAAAACGTCAACATATGCTAAACATGGGGAACGTATTTGTAGCTGAGTCCACAGAAAGAGAACACAAAGTCCACAGGTACATGTATGTTGTCGCGTCTACACTGAGCTCTTTCCAAGTTGTGGCGTACTACTATACAGAGGGGTCATATTTGCATAGGATTTGGCAATGTTCCAAAACAACAGCCTGGCCGAGCAGCGTTGTTTCAGTCAGTCGTGTACAAGTCAACTTCCCGGTTCAAGTGACACCTTCTAGGTACTGCACGGTAAGTCTAGGTACTGCACGGTAAGATACTTCGTGCTTTTATCACAGTAAGGTTGTGTGGCCACACGTCGATACCTCAAACTATAAATTTCCTTTGCTGTAGTTTTGTCAACAAGGTGCTGTTGCATGGAGTGACTAACCGATAACTAGCGTAAATTCATTTACGTTCGTGGGAACTTAATTGACACGGTCCTTGAGGCTGCTTAACTGAGGCGTTCAAGGTGGGTACAGAGAGTGCATTGCTGAGTCCTGACAGAAAATCTGTACTATTCATTGTTCACCGTGTGATTCTGGCGGTTGAGAGGTCACCGTGATCGTGATAGCCACGGGCATAAAACCAGCGGGAACCATTTACAACATTTAGGGACAAACGGTTGAACAGGTTATACATGTGAAAAACATGGCGGATGAATTGACTCAACTGACAACAACTTGAGAATCACTAGAAACGGTGTTGTGTGAAACATTTGTTGACAGTGTTAACGTGTGTGTATGTTTTATGGTGTTTGAACTCACTTGATGTGTGCCTAGTACGTGGGCAAACATTACACAACTGAGTTCTCGAGAATTGTCATGGGTCTCTGCTTACTTACCTCACAGTGCTATTAACGTTACAGTGCAATGTCGTTTGAAAATACTAGTGCTAGTCAGGATCGTTGACTGCATTGTATTTTTTTTGACAAAGAATGTTGATATTGTATTTTATAAATGGTACGTTACAGTTTTGTTTTCTTTTCTCTATCTAGAGAAACATCTGACGTCAGAATGGACCAACAAGAATCCTCAGTCAGGCACCGTCATGCCACAAATCCTTCCCTAGACATCTCTACCGCCGAGAGGGACGAAAAGACAACAAACGGAGCAGTCAAGGAACAAGGTGAGCTGTTTTGTAGTGAGATTCCTATCGTGAAACGCAACGGAATTATAAATGCGCTTACATTGATTATGCAAATCAAGACCTGATTTACATAGTCAGCATTTGTTTATGTTAAATAGCCATCTAAGCCCCAAATCCTTGAATATTCAAACAAAACCGATAGATGCTAAGATTAACACGACATATTTCCGTGTACGTTAGGAGCGAGAAACAGATATTTACTTTCGTGCCTTGCATGCATTCTTTTCGTAAGGTGGAAAGGTAGCCCCCGACGCTGTGAAGCGACGCCAGTCGAGTAGCGATGGAAGTGCAGGCTGGATGGCGATGCTCACCAAGCCGGTTGACCCTTTGACTCTTGCAGTCTTCAGGTTTCTGTTCGGAGCCGCTATGGTGGTACACATTGTCAGAGCAGTGCTCACTCAAGGTAAATTTCAGCAAGTCTTGTAATTGTAGTCAGTTGATACAGAGTATATGATATGGTCAGCTAAGATGTTTGAAAGTGCCAGAACAAATTTTTTGCGTAATGTTTCCATGTATATAGTATTTATCTACGGTTAAAAGATGGCCAGAACATTTTGTGTTCAACTAGATCGGTAATGAAAAAACAACGACGCAGGGCTTAATCAGCATCAATATCCTTACGTCAAAGACGATGTTCAATTTATGCTTTGCAATATTCGAGGGCAATGTGATAAGATATTGTCCAACATCTAATTTTTCCCTTTTCAGATGTGATCGAAGCGAACTTCCAGGACTTTTTCCCTGAGACAAACTTTCACTACTACTTCGCCATGAACGTCTGGAAGCCACCTGTCGACGTCACTTGGTTAATCTTCTGGGCATGCGCAGTTTCTGCTGGCCTCTTGTCCATTGGTTTTTTGTATCGTTTGGCCTCCCTGTCGTTTCTCTTTCTTTTTACTTACATAAATCTCATGGAAAAGGCTCGCTACAACAACCACTACTATCTGTACGTTCTCGTCTCCTTCTTGTTTCTTATAACGGACTGCCACACAAGTTTTTCGTTAGATCACCTCATTGCTCGTTGGAGAGGAAAGAAAAATGAAAGGACTGTTCCTGCGTGGCATCTATACATCTTTCGATTCCAGATATTTGTCTGCTATTTTTATGGGAGCATCGCCAAAATGAATTACGATTGGGTTATCCGCGGGGAACCGTGCAAAACGTGGTTCTATAGGGTTGAGCCTATTCGCCAATTGGCTGAAATGGTCGTCCCGGTTGAATATGTGCCTAGCGTGATTGGTTACTTCTTCAGCACAGGTGGACTTGCCTTCGACTTTCTTATTGGTTTCATGCTTCTCAGCCAGACATTTCGACCAATGGGGTTCCTCCTCACATTTGGGTTCCATTTAACGAATCACTTCGTCTTCAAAATCGGCACGTTTCCTTGGGTAATGATGGCCACAAATATCATTTTTATCGAACCGGAGACGGCTTCAAAAATACCGATTTTGAAAAGTTTTGCCTATTCTGCATATCCCAAAAGCAATGATGAAAAGAAAACTAAAATATCAAAGCTATGTCGTCCGCTATTGGTCCTTTTGTTCTGCTACGTCACTGCGCAATGCCTTGTGCCTTTCCGCCATTGGCTGTACCCCGGTGACGTCAACTGGACCATGGAGGGACATCAGTTCAGTTGGAGAATGATGCTGAATGCAGAAGACGTCGTCCTGCGCACTCTTATAAGACCACAAGATGGGGCCGAAGTAGTGCACACTGGCTACCAGGTAGGGATCATTTGGAAATGTTTGCTTCTGATGAACACTACCATGTAACTAATGTTGTTTTTTGCCTAAAAATATGATATATCGGATGATTTAATAAATTTAACTTACATAAATATTACATGAGGATTTGAGTATCTCCGTTTGTAGCCTTGAAGAAGACGTACACACACTCATTTTATTTGTCAATGTTTCCTTTTGCAGCTCAATGCCAGGCAGATGAAGCGCATGATTACAGACCCAGAAATGATTCTGCAGTACGCACAGTATCTCGGCAGGGAGCACATGCAGACCACGGGAAGTCCTGCAAGTGTGCGTTTGGACATGTGGAGGTCACTGAATAACAGGTGAATACTTTGATCCTACCCAAAAAATCGACTGAGTTTTCGCCTGCCCTACTGCAGTCTACCGCATAGCGCTGGATACAGCTTTCTCCCGAACAGAAGTCGCCGCTTTAGCTGCTCGTAGAAACAAATGCTACCCTGCTAGAGGTTCGTGATTCAAGTGAAGTCATTGGGCATGATGAATTCGAAATGTTGCCATTAATTTGAATAGAGCTATTCGACTCTGACGTTTAAGACATTTAACTATCATCCCCAGGCCCTTCCAACGATGGGTTGACCCATCAGTTGATCTCACCACTACCGACTACTGGGCCTTCCACTACGCCTGGCTGGAGCCCCAGCTTCCGGACTCCGCCCTCGACTTCTCCGAGATGGACAGAATCCGTGCCGAGGCGAGGGATCACGGGAAAATGGCATCCTTCTTCATGGACAAGCCTGGTGGGGTAAGTGTATAGGGTTTAGAAACTTCTTCCTTTCTTTCTTTGTTCTCTCTCTCTCTCTCTCTCTCTCTCTCTCTCTCTCTCTCTCTCTCTCTCTCTCTCACTCTCACTCTCCCTCTGTCTTTCACTGGGAACTCTCCATGCTGTGGCCTTGTATTATAACCGAGAGGAGTCTCTCTCTCTCTCGCTCTCAATAATATTCTCTGTGCGTCTCTCTAAGCTCGCCTTAATGTTCGGACGTTCCTTCACGTCGATAAAGAATTACATGTATCTATCTATGAAAGCAAAGTATACTACACCTAAGTAGCCCACTGTCTCCTCACCACAAACAAGCCAATATATTAATGGTAATTTTTATAGAGTTCTAGCCGTTAAATCCCATCATCTACAGAGGACTAATTAAAGCTTCTAATTCCTTCTTTGATGCACGACCAGGTTTTCAAGACGACGCTCCAGGCCGGCGGTCCGTGCTCGAACGTCACCCTGCTCGCGGTGAGCGGAGACGTGACGGTGCAGGTCAGGAAGGTGCACACCCCCGTCCCGGTCGGCACGGAGTTCGCCCTCCCCGCCACGGGGGGCTTCCACAGGGTGCGGACGGGCGGGGACGGCCCTGCCGCCGTCTGGGCTTACCTGCACGACTGCTCCCCGGGACACTTTCACGACGCCATGATGATGACCAGCATGGATAGCTGGGAACTGTAATATATAGACACTCACTAGATAACCAATGTGCAGTGACAAACATATGACTTACGTGCACTTTTGTAAAGAAACCATGAAAAACACAAACAAAATGGTTTGCGTGTCATCGCTTTGACTGTGTCATATTATATTCTCATTTAGAAGAGAGGAAAAAAATAACCAGATTTAGAGTGAACAGAGATATATATATGTGGAGCTACTGCTAGCTTGGAAGAATATATTTAAGTCTGTTTTCTGTTTGTAAATAACAAAATTCCCAATGCCGCGCCGAATCACATTGAAACATAGTAACTTACATTGAAAGTTGTGAAAATAAAGAAAGTAAAACGAACCTGTCTGTTGTCATCTCCTTAATTTGGAAGCATTGGTCTATATACTAGTAGCTATTCTTAGATTATTGACCAAGAAAATACTGACACAAACTGCGATCTATTTTCCTTGGATGTTGCAAATGATGTTAAATGTATTTATGTATCTAATACGCATCACCTAAATAGAAAGGCATGAAAAACGCGTTTTCATCTTGTCTCTTTATACTAGTAACTTATTTGCCTGTGATTCATAGAAAGGCTTTCTATGGGGCACTTTTAGTGTATAATGGCAGCTGGTGAAAACGTTATATATACTAACCGTCTCCAAGCAGAGTTTGTGGGGAATGATCGTTACCTTTTTATTACATATGGCCGTTTTTTTTGTCCTGATCCCCGTCGGTGGCTAATGGAGCTTCTCTGGCCAATGGATACTGTCTGGCCAATTTGATACTGTCTTTTTTGCCACCGATAGGGATCTGCTTGGAGATTAATATACACTAATTTTGATCAGATGTGTTTTATCAGATTTCAATCAAACCGCCATAAACATCTTCAAGCAGATATTGGGAAGGAAGATTGTTACGTTTTCTGACCGCTGGACTTCTCTGACAGCCAGTGTCAACCAGAACAGAAAATCACGTATTTCAGAAAAGCCCCGATAGTCAGAAAACGCTACAGTCCTCCTCCAAACCTCTGCTTGAAGATTCGCCCGACAGGTTGTCGTGACGTCATTCCACCATTGCCATATTTGGAAGTGACTCGCTGGAATCGGAGCTCAGTAGTATCCCAGCATGCATCGCAAATGCTCATGTGGCAGCACATGACTTCGCACTCCCGACAGAAAATAGTCCTCAAATTGTGAAATAATTTTTCTCATAATTCTGACAAGAACTTATATTAGTATTCGTAAAATGTTATATGCAAATATGAAACGATGCTAATGATATACCTTTGGTGACTCGCGTAATTTGATGAGGAAATTTTCTCAGCGGAGTAATATATAAACAAGGAGAGTCGGCCATTTCACGCCCTTTCCGCCACTGTCCGCGGTTTCTGCCGGCTACAACGAATACAAACGCCGGCGTTTGTGGATTCGAACCGGGGACGAAAAGGGGATAAACATTGACTGAACGGTTGCAGTACGAGTTATCAAGTATCGGACATGGCGCAGATTCTGCCCATCCGCTTCCAGGAGCACCTCCAGGTGAGAGACTTCACCCTTGTACCATACAGTACCACCTAGCCGCCATGTTGGCGGCCACATGCACACATCTCAATCGGAGGGCGTTTCTCCTTCAAAATGTCCAACATCGGACGATTTTACAACCTCATATATCTCTCTTGATAATACACAACACATAACGGTGATAGAAACGTAACGGAAGTGTTTAAGTTGCTGCATTATTGTGGAATGACGTGTTGGTGTTGGTTCTCCATTTTGGATGATCTGCGGGGGGAGGGGGGCGGACGCAGGTGGGGCATTTTTGTCATGCATTGATTGTCGCCAGGAATGACCTTTTTACGCTGCACATCAATTCGATAGACTCGATCCTCAGATATTACTGCCTCAGCTTTTATGCAGGAAGAAAATCGGCGTGGTAAGTGCGTGTTTAAGTCAGCTGCGTCCGATGTGTTGGCACTGTTTTAAGGTCGCCGTAATACTGGCTATATTAGGAGAGCGTATTCCATGACGTTTGTCTCGTGACCGGAAAATCCTTAACAATTTTTTTTATTTCACAGAAGTGAAAAGATTTGCATATAAATCCTTAGTTAATAGCGTAAATAATGCATTCAAGTATCACCGCTGACCACATGAAACAAGTTTTCATGGGTGTTTAGTTGTTGAATAAATTATTTGATTTGTGTGATTCATGAGGAAATGCTGGAAAAGGAAATTGTATGCAAATATATAATTAGCACAATTGCACAGAAGCAGTGATGCTTTTCATGTACAACTTGATGCATTTTCTTTCTTCTTTTATGGGTTGATTATGTCCTTCTTTTCCTTGGCAAATTTGGTCTTGCATTTTGGTATATGGCATCCATAGCATGATTTTAAAAGTTGTTTTGGTTTTGTTCCATAGTTTACATAGATGCAGATGCAGCTTTCTTGAAGTTTTAAGGTTTCTGTTTGCCACGCCTCTGAGGCCAAATTCCAAAGGTTTTGATTGGTCAACCCAGAGGGGAAACTAAAGAGATGAACTGTTTGTCCATGAAGCCAGTATTTGTTCGCCCTGTTCAAACACTAATCTGAAAGATGATCTTTGATCAGGAGGCCCGCTTAGTAGGTTATAGGGTAAAGATTTATGGATTCATATTTAGTAAACAGTGCACAATTAATGAAAAAATGTTCTAGAAATAGTGACATTTTCTTGTACGAGACTGTAGTCAAAGATAGATGTTAGCATTGCAATAGACCTTGCTGTTAAGTAAAAGGCTATGATGACAGTTATTTTACTACAAGTTTCTTGGGTAAATGAAATCAATAATGAACACTACAACAGCAAGAGTTATCTTTGAGTTTAATGTTTGTTTAAGAAGCTACCTCTTGAAATTTGGATATGGTACAAAAGCAGTAGCTTTTTTTGTTTGTGACACCTTTTAAAAGTTTTATCAACAGTAACGCCCACCAATTACAGTAGAGTTGGCAGAAAAGGGGGTGGGGCCACGGTAAATACCATCCACTTCATGAGAAGGGGGGGGTACTTGGAAATAGCAAAGAGCACAGTGAACTAATAGATGCTTCGACCTGAGTTATCAATGTAGATGAAGGGAAGAAGTAAACATATATTAACATATCTTTACTTTTGTTTGAGTACAAAACTGAATTTTAGACTAAGTCTGCAATTGTTTTACTGCATATAAAATGTTAGCAGTATGCTGATTAAGTCTGTCTATTCAGCAGAATAAGTGTCTTCAATATACAGGTATATCAGAAATTCCTCCACTAACCTGCATATTCAGCAGGTGGTATTTTGATCCCTGTCCAATGATGTATCAAATGTCGTTAAGCCATAATTTCCGCTCTTTCCTGAAGCTTCAAAATGTTGGCGTCAACGCGGCGAATATCGGGTTCAGCACCCTCACCATGGAGTCCGACAAGTTCATCTGCGTGCGGGAGAAGGTCGGCGATCAGGCGCAGGTGGTCATCATTGACCTTGCGGACGCCGCCAACCCCATTCGCCGCCCCATCTCCGCAGACTCCGCCATCATGAACCCTGCCAGCAAGGTCATTGCTCTGAAGGGCAGTGGCAGTGGTAAGACTTGTTCTTGTGTTATTAGTATTTACTAGTTACATGTAATTAAAAGATACATGTTGTATTCCTTCTGTTCAATTATGATGATGATGATTAATGTTGTATAGATCAGGGTTCTCACCAGAAATTTTTCAAAGCGTAGGGGTCAGGTACTAAGGCCACGCCATCTTAATTTGTTGGTTCTCAGATTTGCCCGCTTCATCTTTTTCAGATTTGAAAAAAAAAATTTCAGCCTCTGAAACAACTCCAAACTCCTTCATATTTTGGCCCCAACATTTACAGTTGAAAGAAGTCCCTTCTCTTTAGAGTCGTGAAAAAATCTGTGAACCAACAAATCAAATTGGCGTGGCCTAACATTCTTTATAAATCTGTATTTATTTGGGCAATGGGGGGCTTGATTTTGTGGTAGGAGGGGGAAAGTATTTCAAGTCAACTGTTGAAGAAGTAGAATAATACATTAGTAAGACAGAATATGTTCATGGTGCAAGTACAATTTTTACAGTATTATATCAGTATTTTACAGGCAGTAAGAGACACATGAGATTTTTAAATGTTCTCTTTGCTATAATTATGTAGATCTTAAATTGTAGCTATAGCTGTAGAGCTTTGATACTGTATTTGTGGTATTTGCAATGTTTAAATCATGAGTTGATTGCACATTCCCACAGAAGCATTGCTAGTTGATATGTGCCATTTCAGCATGTTGTAGACATGTTCTGTGTGTGATTTTGTATGCTGGATGTCGGGTTCATATTGATTTGTACGGGGGAAGAAGACACATTCCTGGGGTCACATCCAAGGTCGTACTGTCCAAGAGGCGTGCGGGAATAACGACGAGCTAAAAAAAGCCAGCAAAGACATAAAGCGTAGCTGGTTCATTAAGCATTTCATTTCATGGCTGGTTTAACATATGGGGCCATGGGGTAGATATAGGGTATGCACTGATTTCCTACCATTGAAGCTATTTCAGGTAAATAGAAATGTTGTGATCCAGTTCAAATTACCAGCAAAAATGTTCAAGTTCATTGTAACTCATACAGCTGCAGTATTATTATGGGTTCAAAAGACCCACCTGCAATTTCTAAAAGAATAGAATATCAGATTGCAGGTAAGAAGACAATCTACTTGCAGTTTGATGCCAAGCACATACCCATAATTCTCCTTGCCACGTCTACCATCTCATAAAATTTCTTCAGTTCTCTCGACTCCATGCATGTAAATGAACTAACATCGGATGAGGTCATTCCTAGTAAAACTGGGCAGGAAGGGGGGGTAATAGTAGTGTCACCTGATCAAGCCTTATGATTGATAAGCTTTTAGCATTGTAGGATTCTCAAAAGCACTCTAAAACAGTGTTGTTGAAGGTTAAGTGATCAAATGTTATGTTTTTACAATGGGAAGGTTGTATAGGTTATATACTATGCTATTCCCATTGCCAGGGGGCATTTATTACAGGAAAGCCTGAAATCTAATTCAGGTCAGTCCCATGTGGGATTTTCTGTCACCGCTGGGCCCTAGGTAATATATTTACCGTGAGAGCCAGACTGGGAAGGGCTTTTAGAGAAAAGATACAAGCATATAATATATATTACTATCAATATTCTATATCATGTGATTTGCCAGTTTGATAATGATACTTATGTAAGGGAAAGTATGAGTCAATTTTTTGTGATTTTTCTTTGCATATCGTTGTCTGCTACAATTTGGATGGTTTTCTGAGACAACCCTGGATGTGAAAATGGCTG